CACACACACACACACACACACACACATTAAGGACTTAGGTAATAAAAGAAAACAGATTGTTAAGCAAAGCTATAAAGAGATAAAGAGCAAGAATAATTCACAGATACAACAGAGCCAGCTTTACTTCCTGCCTGTCTGGTAACACTGGTTCCTTGCCTTCCTTTGCAAATGCCAGTTGTATAGGCCTAGTTAGGCTGAGTGTTTTCTGTATTAATACTGACCCCCAGAAAATAAGCCTGAAGTTCTTATAAACTGATAAATATTAATTATCGTTTTTTACATGAAAGGAACTTAAACCACCGGAATGCTATCAGATACAACATAGAAAACCTGAAGACATCCTGCTAAGGGGAGTTTAGATGGGGCCATGAGCAAATACTAAACACTGCAAGGACTGCAGTAAGTCACAGAACCCTTGATTCTTACCATCGCTGACTAGGACTGGCCCACACTACATGTAGAGTTCGTAGGCTATTTCGGAAACAGCTTGTACCTGAAGCTACCACTATGTGCAGTCCTAACACCCTCCCATTCCCTGTCTTCTGCTGGACCTAGGTGAGCTAGCCTTGCCTGTCAGCATCCATGCCTCGCTGGCTCTTACCCACCTACCCCCTTAAGGGTCCGCCTCACGGTTCCTAGTCAGCAGCACTGCTGCTGTTTCACTTCCTCTTTTTTCCCCATTCTAATTTCTAGTTTACATTGGGTGGAATGTGCTCCTAATCCCGTAATTATGTCCTTGTCACTGCCATGTCAGCACGGACACCTAAAGGTCACCTTCCTGTCACCCTGAATCCTTATCTACTAATGTAGCCCTGGAAGAGCTTCACCTCAGGTCACCTTACACCGGACACTGTGTGAGGAGCTGCCACTGCTGTCAGCTGTTAGACTCACTCAGGCCCCATGAGCCCCTGCTAATCTGGTCTCACTGATAATCTGAAACATAGAGCTCACCTTAGGGAATGGACAGGGCCTATAAGATATCATACAGCATCAAAAAGGAAAGAAAGAAAAACATGATTGGTACCTACGTGTAAAGCCCTATCTACAATCATACAAACAACAAAAAACAGGCAGCCAGGTTAAGTTTTGGAAGAACTCACATTCCCAGATCAGATGAAAGCATCTAAAAATAAATGTTTTTAGTAGCAGGAATGGTGATGCTTATAAGGCTGATGGTGAGCTAAGCATGCGGAGTAGTTTTATATTAATATATTTGTAATTAATTACTATGGAAACATGCACTTGAATAAAACCATATGTGGCTCTGGAAACCCCTTTATAGTTCAAGATAATAGGTTGTGTGTGTGTATAAATATATATACACACACACATATACATATATATTATAGCTACATATGTGTGTAGGTGGCTTCCTGTATTAAGTTAATACTGCCTTTGACATTTTTAAATTTTTTTTAATCATTGATTTATTTGGTACAGGGTCTCACTACACAGCTCAGACTCACTGTGATCTTCCTGTCTCAGCCTCCTCGGTGCTGGGATTAAGGTGAGTGCCACCATGTCCAGTTTTTGTGGCTGGCACAGAAGGCACAGCACGCAGTACTGGCGATTGAACCCAGGTCCTTTCACTTGCCAGGCAGGCACTTAGACTGCTGAATTATCTCCCCAGCCAGTATTGTCTTTGTTTAAAATAAAGCTTCAAGGGCTGGCCATATGGTTCAGCAGACTAAAGTGCCTGCTTAGACAGACATAGGCACCAGGGTTCAATCTCTGGCATACCATACCGGCCCCACCCCCAGGGCACACTGAGAAGGCGGTTGAGACTAGGCATGGTGACAGGCGCCTGTAATCCCAGCATTTGGAAGGATCGCTACAAGTCTGATCTGTACAGTAGGACCTGATAGATCCTGTAGAAAAAATACACTAAAACATAAAATAAAGATTCAAACTGCATTTAAAGAGACTATTCAATATTACTTTGAGAAATGGAACTTCTTGGTGCTGCTTATAAATATTATCTATAAAGCAGTATTATGAAAATTTTAATTTCTTAACATGTTGATACAAAGGATATGAAAATTTAAAGAAAGTTGTTTTAAAAAACCTAGTTATATGCAGACACTTCATTTCACAAAAACTTATTCCTCTGTACTTGAGAATATCACCCTCTCGACCAAGTCAGGTTGCTGCACACGCGCTGATCAGAAAGAACCGGGAGCAGTCAGACCGGCGTGGTCGGTTATCAACAGAGTAACAAGAAACAAAGCATCATTTTTCTCAACATCCAGAGCTAAGTGCACAGCCAGGGCCACCTGAATGACTGATCTCACGAGGACCACACAAGAACAGAAGCAAATCTCTACAGAAGGTGGAGGCAGGAGCCACAGGCCAACGGTCTCACCACCTGAGAACTAGAGCGCCGCTGGGGAGAACAAGGAGAAGGGGAGCTTACTTTGTTTTTTAAGTTCTTCAATCTGCTCTTCCTTTAGATCCAACTGTTCGGTAAGTCTTGATGCTGAATCCAAAGCAGCATTTGCTTCATCCAAGTGTTCCTGAGGGAAACATATACAAGAAGTGTATGCAAAAACTGTTCCACAGGCCACAGAGCTGGGACACCTCTTAGAATCATCCTGGTTAATGAAAGGGCATATCTGTGACCTTGGGTGAGGTCATGCAACTAAAATAATATCAAAGGTGTATCCCATAATCTTTCACAATGTAACACTGCCTTTTGTAGAGAAATTAAAGAGAAGATTTTACTAGAAGACAAGATGACAGAAGTAAAAGAAAAACAAGGAGATATAAAACTAAAAAGATACAGAAGGTCCCCAAGAACTACAGCAACAAATGTAAGCCAAATACACATGAAGTACTATTTCACTATACTATTTCATAGTGACGTTTAATGACATTAGTTCTTACTTCCACACCTATCACTTGAACATTTCTGTGCTACAAGCCGGATGTAGCACATTCTTATGTGCAAATCTCTTCGCACACACTGCCTGTGTTTTTCTGTCTCCCATGTCACTCTCTAAGTCACTTGTACTTTTGTCACTCTGCTAGGCAAATATTGCTCATGAGATCTGCCATTTGTCTGATTATATTACCCACTGCCATTAAAACCCTTTTAAATTGTACACAAACATGCTAATTTGTACTTTCCTTGAATTTAGTCTTAATTAGGATCTTCCTTGTCCCAATCATACATGCAGTCTTCTAGATTTTGGTTGCAAGAGATTTTTTTTTTTTTTTTCTTTTTTCAGAACCGGGGATGGAACTCAGCCCCTCAGGCCCTTGCACTTGCCAGGCAAGCACTTATTCTACTGAGCTATCTTCCTGGCCCCTGTAAGATATTTTTAAAAAAATAATTCAGTCTTTAACGCTGCTCAATGCTGGGAGTATGTCTGAAAATTCCTGGCCCCCTAAATGGTAGAAAAAAACCACACACCCACTGAAATAATTAAAAATATACCTAGATACCCAATACCACTCCCTGTTGAGAATCACTCCTTTAATACAGATGGATATTTTGCTACATGGTATAAGATCGACTCCTACTTTATGTTCTTCCATATGGATAATTTGCCAATATCACTTACTAGATAAGCTATCTTCTTCCTCATTAAATTAAAACTGGTTTAGTTTAGGATTTAGTTTTATGTTGAAACTGTACTTCCGATTTGATTTGAAACTGTCTCATTGCTATCTGTTTATCAATAAAATTTTAAAAAAATAAAAAATAAAAAATAAAATAAAAGGATTTAGTTTTAAATATACCACGGGCCCTACTACAGTTCTATTTTAATATCTGGTACACAAGTGCCTCTTTACTCTTTATGTTTATAACAATTTTTTCATCTCTGGCCTGGGGAGATAGCTCAGTGGCACTGCACTTGCCTGGCAAGCGGAAGGTCCTGAGTTTGATTCCTGGTACACCCCCCAAAATATACACACACAGTTTTCTCAGCTTTCATCTATGTAATTTCAGGCCAAGTTTTCAGAATGATAGCATTTCTGATATTATAACTTGGATAAACTACAATCCTTAGCTATTCAAACAATCTATATGCTGCTTTCAAGGTGTCTTTGCAAACACACCCAACATCCTTAATCACTTAGATTCAACAAAGACACATTACCCTGGAGAATTTAGGAGGCCTGAGCTAGTTAGCAGTTCTTCAAAGCAGGGTTTACGCCTCCCCAAAAGGGAAAAAAACATTCCTTCTGTGGGCAGCAGCTCAGCCTGCGCCCCTGGAGTTCCTTCCTGCTTGAGGCTTTCCTCATTGCCTGAGGACAGCAGCTCTGGCGTGGGCCTCTGGGTCTGAGCCCCCATTGCGAGCCTTACGAACTTCAGACTGACTTAGCCAGCCTCTGCCACCACGTGGCCAGTTCCTTGAATCACACATGGGTGTGTCTACTTATACGTACAGACACAGACACAGACAGACAGACAGACAGACAGACAGACAGACACAGACACACACACACACACACACCTCTACTGGATCTGTTCCTACAGGCTGAACCATCTCTGATACAGAGGTACTAAAACCAAAAACATGTAAATATAAATATATTAACCTAAATCCATTAAAAAAATTATTGTAAAGAAAATGTAAGTAAACTTTAAATCATCTTAAACATTTAAAAGACAAACCACATTCAGGACCACTGGAAACAATGAAAGTGTTTAATATTTTATCTTTAACAATTTAAAGTGATAATTTATCACATTAATGAACAAATAAGCATATGTGATTACTAAACAAAAGGTGCTTGATGCCAGCAACATAGCTCAGTGGACTGAGTGCCTGTTTTGGCAAGTGCAGGGACCAGGGTTTAATCGCTAGTTCCTCAGGCCATGCTGGCCCCACCCCTGGGGCGCACTGAGCCGGTGACTGAGCCCAGGTGTGGTGGCGCACATTTCTATTCCAGCACAAGGGAGGCTGAAAACAGGAGGATCACTACAAGCCCAAGCTGCGAGCTGCATGCTTTGGTACAGACCTTGTACCAAACACATAAAAAAAGAAAAAAAAGGTGTTTGACTTCATGAATAGCCAGGGAAATGTAGATTACAACTACAGGAAGAGAACCCTCCTGTGCTTAAATTGTCCCCCAAAGCTCACGTGTTAGAAGCCTGATCCCCACTGTGGCAGCAGGGCTGTGAGACCACTGCCCACTAATCATTAGTGTTTAACTACTGCGGGACGGCTTCCTTATAAAGGGCCAAGCTCACTCACATCTTACCCTTTCTCTGGCCTTCTCTTTGCCTTCCCTGCAGAGGATGCTGCAGCAAGAACGCCTGTATCTGACACTGCTCCCTGACTTCTGGGCTTCCCGGCACCCAGTAACGTTACCTAACATGTTTTTCCATTAGAAATCTCGGGCTGCGGGTTCCTCTATAACAGCAGCACAGAACACACTAACACACATCCCATCCATTCAGATTGGCAAAAATTAAAAAAACGGTCCATACATATCCTGTAACTCAGCAATCAAGATATCCACCCTGAAGAGATTCTTATATATGTGAGACAAAAACAAGGAAATGCGTAACCACACTTGGTACAGCAGGTATCTACAATGACCTGTATCAGTAAAATGGGCAATAAAACGTTGGTTGATACATGAAGTGGTAAAAAGGGGATGAGCTGTGGAAAGGTGCATTAAAAAATTTCAAAGGATGATATTCTGCTTCTTATACTGGATAAATATATGGGCATTTATCCACTCGCTAAATTGCTATTTTTATATTTATGCTTATTAAAATTTATTTGCAGTCACTTAATATTTTAAAAAAATTATAGGGCAGGGGATATATAGCTCAGTGGCAAAGTGCCTGCCTGGCATACACAAGGTCCTGAGTTCAATTCCCAGTTAAAAAAACATGAAAGAACAAATTATAAACTATAGCAGTTAATACATATCCTTACTTGAGACAGTAACAATTTGAGACAGTAACATTCTTTTTTTTTTTTTTTTGTACTTAGGACAGGGTGTACAGGACCTCACTGCACACATCAGACTCATAGTGATCCACCTGTTTAGTCTCCCAAGTGCTGGGTGGGATTCAAGTGCGCACCACCACAAGTCTCAATCGCTGTCTCCGCATGCCCCAGGGGCGGGGCCAGCACAGCAGGCCAGGGAATTGAACCCCTCCCTCCCCTGCATCTGCCTAAGCAGATGCTTTAATCCGCTGAGCTATTTGGCCAGCCCGACAACAACATTCCTAAACAGCATATTGTTCACTAATTCAGAGTAAATGGATTTTACTACTCTCTTCCACTTGTTGCCAGAGTCTATTGGTGACTTGAAAAGTTTCTCAAAAAGCTAATGATGGAAGAGGAGATAGTTCAGAGGCATAAGTACCTACCTGGAAAGCACAAGGACCCAAGTTCAATCCCCAGACCTGCACATCATGCTGGTCCTAGAACCCCAGGCACACCATGTCCAGAAATGGGCATCATGGCACACGCCTACAATCCCAAATCTTGGGAGGCTTAGGCAGGAGGATCTCTGTGAGTTCAAGACCAACCTTGGGACTACAAAAGTGAGTACAAGGCCAACCCAAACTGCACAGTGAGACCCTGTCTCAAAACAACAACAACAAAAAACTAATGATGCATACCTGCAATCCTAGCAGTCAGAGGCTGAGGCAGGAAGATCAGTGGGAGTTGGAGGCCAGCCTGGATTATAAACTGAGTTCAAAGCCAGCCTGAACTACATAGTGAAATCGTGTTTCAAAAAAAAACCTAGAAGCAAGCTGCTTTGTTATTATTTCTATGCATAGGAGTTCATTTTATTTATACCATGTATGGAATATAGCATAATAAAACAAATCTTCTAATTTTTATTTATTTGTGTATGAGTCTCACTACACAGTTGAGACTTACAGTGATCCTCCTGTCTCAGCCTCCCCAGCACTGAGATTACAGGAGTGTCACCACGCCCTGGTTTGGGGGCCAGTTTTTCCATTACAAATCTCTGGGTGTGCAGCACACCCACAGCAAGCCCCAGGTTTCAGGGCCAACACAGCATGTGGCACCACAGATCAAACCCAGGTCCTCGCCAGGTGCTTAGACTGCTGAGCTATCTCCCCAGCCCCCCAAAAGAAAAATCTCTTAAGGAAGGTTGCTACAAAGCAAAAATATGTATTATGTCAATCTGTGTGCAGTATTCTGTCTAATATATTTTGCTCAAAAGAGAAAGCCATAAAGTTTAACTTCGTACATAAATTTGGGTTTTATAAAATACCCATGTGTAAAAAATGTCAGTGTCCGTACAGCTCACAGTCACGAGGTCTACAGTTTCACAGTTTTAAGTCACTGAGGACATCCCCAGTATTTTATTTTATTTTTTTTTCATCTTTTTAAGAGTTTCGCTCTGCAGTTAGGCTGGTCTTGAACTCACTCTGTAGCCCAGGCTGCTCTTGAACTTACAGCAATCTCTGTGCCTCTGCCTCCCAAGTGCTGGGATTACAGATGTGCACCACCACGCCCAGCCGACCCTGCGTATCTTGTTCGCTGCTGTGCTCAGCAGAGGCTAGGTACAGCGCAGTCACTCAAACAGTATGTAAAGCAATTACTGAATAACAAAATGTCTAAGAGAAAGATTTCAGTTTACCTGTAAAGATGACATCTTTCTTTCCAGATTTTCTGCCTTTTTCTTCCATTCAGCTATAACCTGTTTTTGCTTTTCTAATTCAGCAGAATACATAGCTTTTTCCTCTAAAAAGAAAGTTACATTATTATTTTGCAACTGTATGATAAAACTAGACTTTTAAACCGCCAATATTTTAATAATTCAACAGAAAAGTCCAAGCATCTCAAAACAGGAGATGACGCAGTGACCCCGCTAAGTGCAAGTGGGGCGACGAGATCGCTGTTTCCTCCCCTGAACCCTGCTCCCCAGGGTCTGTGTGCAGCTCCTTCCTCCCCTTCACTGCTTCACTCAGATGCTTCCTCTTAGCAACGCTCTCTCCCAGCCTTGGTACTGCACTACCTCGGATGCACCGCACTCTCGCAGTGATTTCATAAAGCAAACCTAGAGAATTCTTATAATTAAAATTGAAATTCCAACCATGTAAGTAACCCTGAAAGGAACACACAGGTACAAAGTTTACTTAGGTACAAAACTATAAAGCTGTCAGTTACTTCACCATCCTCACATCCTCTATCCTCTATGCAATTAGCAGTGGCTCCACCATCAATAGGCACTGAACGTCTAAGTCAACAGGTGCATGAGCAGATGGATGAATGACCTGAAGGGGATAAAGCTAAGGACAGGAAGTAGAACGTGCAAAGATGCATCAGGTGCCCAGAGGAAAACTGCTCTGCTCATTGCTCTGTTCCCCCAAAATGTATTTTGGGCTAACTCAAAAATGTAAGCCAGCAGGCATCATGACGTGGGCCTGTAATCCCAGCTCCTTCGAGGCTGAGAGAGGAGGATGACAAGTTTGAGGCCTGCCCAGGCAACCAAAAAGAGATCCTGCCTCAAAATAAAAAAATAAAACAGGCTGCAGGGATACAGCTCACAGTAGAGAGCTCCACTTGGGATCAAGCCCGAGTACCACCACCACCACCAAAACAAAAAGAAGTTACCAAAGTGACTAGTGAACTCTTTAATGAATATTTTATTTACCAATTAACACTCTGAAGGGGAGTTAATAGTCCCGAAGAAACGAGCATTTTCTGCGCGAGCATCTCTTCTTTGCATTCCCCTCCTTATCACCAGATCGTCCCTTTTTACCACCACCCTCACAGCTGCCCAATCTCTGTCTTAACTAGCAACAAGATAGCTTCTAGACTCCAGTCTTAAATGTAAAAGGAGTCTAAATTAACTTGTTATAAGGGTATTTACCTTTCTCTCCTATAAGTAAGGAACTTTTCAGTGATTTCCTTATACCCAGTCTAAATCAGGACCTTAAATAGGTAGAATCACCAACTACAATGGTTTTCTTCGCTGATGGAAATCTGTACACCTTACCCTGCTGGAAGTGCTCTAGAACCATCTGGAGGTTGGCTAACGACATGGCATACTGCTTTACTTGTTCCTGAGACATAGACAGCTGCAGGGCAGTTTCATCCCTCTGCTTTGAGACCATGTTCAGCTGCTCCTGCAATGACTCCACCTGCACACTGGCTTGATGACTTGAAAAGAAAAAGCCAAAGTCAAACTTTCTGTCTACTAAGATACTTCTACAAAATTACTTCTCTTTATCGTACTGCATTAGATTCAAATTCAAGTTAGATTTCAAACATTTTAGAGATTTTTTCTTTTTTGAGAGATAGGGTCTGGCTATATAGCCCACGCCGGCCCCAAACTCAAGGCAATCCTCCTGTCTCAGCCCCCAAAGTGCTGGGATCACAGGAGTGCACCTCCACACCTGACTAGAGTTACTTTAAACAGGAGGAAAGCATCTTCCCTTGTCCGTACATTTCTTTTCATGGTGGTAATGCAGAACCTAAAATGCACAAGCTAAGCACTTGCGGGCAGCTACATCAGAAGCACTAAGTGCATGCATAGCGTTGTGTGATCCTCAGTACCACTCATCTCCAGAGCTTTTCTTACCTTCTCCCATTGAAACACCATCTCTAGTTTATAACAACTCTCCTTGCCCTGACTAGTATTCAACTGGCTGCCACTACTAATTTCATCTTCTTTGTATTTATTGCATTAAATTCAAGTTAGATCTCGAAGAAACTCAGAAACTTCCTTTCACCTTTTTTGTTTTTTTAATTCAATCATCTTTCCTGGGCAAGTGACTTTGAACAACTGCTAATCATTTTAAAGCCTAGGAATCAGGCTAACCAAGACTATCAGCAAAAGAAAAACTCAAAAACTTCAAAATTCCTATTTCTAGGTTAAAAGTCTTAGATATAACACATCATAATATTTTAAGTTGTAGGGGATCTTTGTGGTCATTTTGTCACTGTCCACAATAATAGTGCCCCTTGCTTTTGACACTTGCACTCAGTGAACACACAGCATTCCAAAGGCTGCCTACTGACGAACTGCTCTGCTTATCTTTCACTATCTTATTTCTTTCTGCCTACATCAAATACAATAAACCCTCCCACAGTCCCGAATAAGCCAGAGACCCCTAAGTAATTTATTTATCAAGGTTTATGCCACTGGCATACATCCTTGATGTACTATAAGGATGAAATTCAGTGGCACACACCTATAATCTCAGCACACAGGAGGATTGCTGAGGCAGGAGGATCATTGTGAGTTCGAGACCAGCCTGGGCTACAGAGTGAGGTCAAGGTCAGCCTGAACTACATAGTGAAACCCTGTCTCAAAGAGACCAAAAAAACAACAACAACAAAAAAAAAAAACCCAAAACACCACTCAAAACATTGCAAAAGTCTTCATGGGTACTTAATATCTAGCTAAGTTCTTACTTAAGAGCAGCTTACTAACACTCATTGAAATTAGTTCACTTTGAAGACATTTTGCCCAACAGCACTCTCTTCTGGAAAGATATGTAAATTGAGAGGAGGACCTCATCTTTGCCCCCAAGTATCCCCAGATTTTATCTAAGTTTGTTGCTTAGCAAATCAAAGAATGATTATAATGATGAACTAAGCTATGACAGGACTTAAAAAGTTAATAAATAACAGGATTAATATAAAGGGCTCAAAACACCACAATCTGGTTCCCAGATTTGCTCTTGTACATCAAAGTTTTACTGTACCATCTGTAATATATACAGTGGGAGGCATATAAAACGAATGGCACCATTGCTACCTCCTGGTGAGCTCACATTTTATTAGATAGGAAGCAGTATAAGATAGGTCAATAATTATCTGAGGTCATCTTTTTTATTTATTTTTTTTTTGGTATGAGGGATCGAACTCAGGACCTTGTACTGGCCAAGCAGGTACTTACACAGCTAAGCTATCTCCCTGGCCCTTCAATAATTATCTGTACCCCAAAGCAAAATACAAGGGCCCTATCAAAGACTCAAGGTAGAATGCAAGTTCAACAGAAAGATATCACAACAGGGCTTGTTTATGCACATGACAAATGGGATGCTAAGTGAAGTACCCTTGGCAAGGAAAGTGGAATTTGAAGGACAGTAGGATTCACAGAAAAAGTTATAGACCAGGTCTACTCGTCACACAAAGATATGAAAAGAAAAAGGTAGAAGACATATATGAAAATCATGCCTATAAGCTGTGTGAAGCCAGATAGCTCAGCAGACTAAAGCACCTGTTTAGGCAGAGCACAGTGGCCAGGGTTTGATCCCCAGTGTACCACGCTGGCTCTGCCCTCAGGGCGCGCTGAGGTGGCAATTCAGACTAGGCATGGTAGTGCGTGCCTGTAATCCTAGCACTTGGGAGGCTGAAAACAGTAGGATTACTACAAGTTCCATCTATGTAGTGAGATCCTGTAGACCCTGTACCAAATACAGTAAAAAAAAAAAAAAAAAAAGAAGCAACTGTGTGATGCAGTTTGCCTAGATGTGGAAATACAGCTAATGTGGAAGGTAGCCTGGGACCAAATTACAGAAGATTGATTTTTGAAAAGAAGGGAGTTACAGGAGAAAGGGAGACAGCTCAGCAGTGTAAGCACCTCAAGGACCCAAATTCGATCCCCAGTACCACATGCCACGCAGGCCCCAGCGCACCAGTCGTGGTGGCACATGCCTGTAATCCCAGTACTGGGGAGGCTGAGACAAGAGGACCACTATGAGTTTGAGCTGTGTAGTGAGACCCTGTACCAAATAAATACAAGATTTTTTTTTTTAAAAAAAAGGAGTTACAAAGTCATAACTCTAATTACTCTAAGGGAGTTATTAAAACGGCAAATAAAAGGCATAGAGACAGGCAACTATTTTAATTAGAAAAAATAAAAGTCTGAAAATTGCAAGGATGAATTATGATATATAATGTGACAGCCTGAGAATATTTGGCATTTCTTTTATATTTGACATATATGAATTGTCAATGTTTTAATTTTCAAATTGAACCAAGTTTCATTGAGTGAGAAAATATAGTAATATGTTCTGCAAAGTGATGGGAAGGACACACTCTCACCTGCAAATATCCTCTCTCCACACAGAAGCCTAGTATCTCCTTAAAGTTCCCTCAGCATCATACACAGAAGGAAATGGAAAGATGCGCATATCAGCAATATAGTTTTCTGAAAAGTAATTTGGCAGTACAATCTCAAAAGTTTTAAAGTATTACTTGACCTAGAAGTTCCATTGCTAAAAATTCACACTGTCCTCTACAAAAAAATAGATCCCAGGATACCGTGACAGCTCTCGGTGATTCTGGAAAGTTAAAACACTCTGTCCAGTAATAACTGACTTGGTTAAAGAAAGTACGTCAGCATACTCTTACGTGCAATACATTGGACACACGGGTGTATATACTGCATTGTTTCTCTGGTATGAGAAGCCAGAAGTATACACAAGGACCAGATATTGGGAAGCAGGAAGAGAATGGTCAAATAGGAAGGGAAACCAGGGAGGGGGATGAGGAAATGAACAGAAAAGAAAAAAACAAGAAAAGGAAAAACAGAAATAGAACTTTTGTAAAGAAGGGGAAGAGGGGTTCAAGGGAGAGGAGGGGAATGGGGAAAAAGCAAAACCAAACCAAACCAGATGCATCAGATGTATCATGTGCAGATCCAGTCCAGCCTAGGCCCAGCAAGTGTGTGGGAGAGCTTCTAGTTTCCCTGCGCCCACGGGACCTCTCCGGACCAAAACTCAGGAACGCTGCATGAGTGAGATCCTCTGCCACACCCTTGGGACCCCTCCAACCCTCTGGAGCCCCTGCCCCCAAGCCTGCCCAGTAAATGAGAACTTCTGTGATGCTCTCAGGACCCCCAGATCCATCCCAAGCCCAGGCTGGGCTAGTGTGTGGGAGAGCTTCTGGGCTCCTCTGTGCTCCCTGGGCCAGAGGCACAACAGAGGGGCACCACAGGTTCACTGTTGTGCCAGAGGGGCAAAACAGGTTCACTTCCAAGGGCTGCAGCAGGAAGCAGCTGAACACAACAATCAGACCCAGGCCAGGCATAACTGGATACACTCAAACTTAATAGATCTGCACTCAAATTTCAGTAGTTTCTAAGCTCTATACCAAAGGTCAGAGGTCAATGCTTATGAATTGACAAAGACAAGGAGCAAAATGTAATCTCAGGTCTCTAGCCCACCCAGAACAAGTACAGAGGATACTAGCTCAGCTGAAATGAATAAATTAACAGCATCAGAAGTAACGAAAAGGCAGCAGAAAGGTATAGAGGAACTCAGAGCAGAGTTAATTTCTGAAACAAAAAAAGAAATCTCTGAATTCATAACATCTGAAGTAAAGAATCAAAACCAGAAACATACGGAGGAAACCCAATCTGAAAAAAACTCTGCAGTAAAAGAATTAATAACTGCTTCTAAAGAAGATATTGATAAAAAAATTACAGGAGATTAGAAATATGACGGATTCCTTGAATGAGCAATACAGGAAAGAAATAGATCACAGGAAGCAGCGTCAAAGAGATATAGAAGATCTTAAAATCTCAGTCACAAGCTTGCAAAACCTTTTGAGTGAAAGTGAAGATAGAATTTCAGATCATGAAGACACTGGTGCAGCTAGTGAAAAGGTAAAAAAAGATCTCTTAAAAACAACTAAGATGCAGGAAAAAATAATGCATCACCTGCAAGGCAATGCAAAGATGAACAATGTGAGACTAATAGGAATGAGAAAGAAGGAGTCAACACAAATGATATAAAAAGAATATGGGCAGAAGTAATAGCAGAAAACTTCCCAAATATGAGGAAACAATTTGACATTCTCATAACTGAAGCATACAGAACGCCAAATAACTTGAACCCAGTTAAAAACACACCGAGACATATAATAGTCAAGATTCCAGAAATTCAGCACAAGAATACTGAAAGCTGCTAGAGAAAAGAAGAACACAATCAAAGGAAAACCCATCAGAATTACCACCAACTTCTCTTCACAAACCATGAAGGCAAGAAGAGCATGGAGCAGAGTACTTCAAGTCCTCTATGAAAACAAAATCCAGCCCAGACTACTACACCCTGCAAAACTCTCTTTTTCTTTCTTTCTTTTTTTTTTTTATTTTTGTGTGTGTGTGTGTGTGTGTGTGTGTGTGGCCAGCTCAGCCCACCAGGGGGCAGGGCTGGCTGGCATGTGGTGCTGGGGGATTGAACCGTGGTTCCTGTGCTTTGCTAAGCTTGTTCTAAGTAGGTGCTTTAGACCACTGAGCCATCTCACCAGCCCCAAAACTCTCTTTCAAGTTTGATGGAGAAGTGAAATACTTCCATGACAAAGAACAACTAAAGAATTTCATGGTGACAATGCCAACCCTAAACAGACTACTGAAAGATGTTCTAGAGAGGGACCAAAATGATCAGAACTCCATGAACGAGAACAGAAGGAACCCACTAAATAGGGCAAACAATTAAACACAGGACAAAAAGGAGTAAACAATAGCAGGTAAATAACATGTCGATCAAAAGATGTATCATGTACAGGCACAAATTCCCTATGATGAATATGATCACTACGTCTACCTAAAATGTACAAATAAACTCAATTTTTAAAATTTATGGGGCCAGAGAGATGGCTCAGTAGAATAAGTGCTTGCCTGGCAAGCAGAAGGGCCTGAGTTCAATTCCCGGTTCTGCAAAAATAAATAAATAAATAA